AAACCCAGCGTCTGGTGATGTCTATGCGTTCCAGACTTCAGGCTGTAATTGACTGCAAAGGATTTGCAACCAAGTATTAAAAAGTGAAAGTTTGATTTATGATTATCATTCTGTCCCATTACTTTTGGTCCCTTAACAAGTGGGAAGCACATATGCAAACTGTTGTAATTCCTACACCGTTCACCTGATTTGGATGTAAATACCCTCAAATTAAAGCTGACAGTCTGCAGTTAAAGCACATCTTGTTTGTTTCATTTCAAATCCATTATGGTGGTGTATAGAGCCAAAAATGTTAGAATTGTGTCCATGTCCCAATATTTATGGACCTGACTGTATATGAAACAGCTACTCTGCATTTATTGCAATCCTTATCAATGTTAATGGAAGTGATGGGTAGGTGGGGAGCAAAGTTGCTAAATTGCTTAAGGTCCCCTTGTATCCTAATCCAACTCTGCACTGGGTAAAAAAGCCCTGGAGCCTGCACCTTTAAAAATATGCCAACAATGGTAGTCTGCATATTTCATACAACAAAAAGTACTGTACAAAAAAAACCTCACAAAAAACATTCAGTCAAGAAGATGCATTGGGTCTAATATTTGATTTCTGTAAAGTCCATCGTCTAGTCTCTGCTACTTTATACCTGTTGCTTAATACTTCATTGAAATTCTTGTGCCCGATTACTATTTTTTTTTTTTTATGAGACTAAAATATTCTTACTGTACACAAGCAATGGCTGAGACTACATTTACTAGGCAGTCGTGCTGAATCTCAAACCAATGTGTTCAATTCAAGCAGGCATAAATAGAAGCTTCCAGCACCTGCTTAATCTTCATTTACATATTCTTTGTAGCCAATTTAAAGAATATGCCTGAGTTAGGTTTATGAATATTAATAACAGACCACAAAGCTGCCAAAATCATTTTACTTTTTAGTATGTCTTAGTGTTAGAGAAAAAACAGCTTACAGAAAATCGAATAAACTCCTATGTTGCCTTCTCTTTTCTGCTGCTGTGTTTTATTATTATTTATTTATTTTGGCTAGAATGGATTTGGTGTCATTCTATATAATGAATTATATTATAATCACTGTACTGTTTATTTGCATTAGGCTTTTTCCATTAAGAAATGCAAATTCTGTACATGTGATGAAACGCTTAAGACAGTCACAAGAATGCATATTTACTAGAAGAAATTACAAAAAAGGTGAGTTTCCAAGCCTCATTCAGTAAAAAATTTTAAAACATAGTTTAGCACTAAAATCAGTTCTTGGAGAATTTTTTCAGCATTGGATCCAGTGTTTAATTAAGACTAGAATCTTTTCAGTTACATAGTTGGCAAAGTTGAATACAGACACTAGTCCATCCACTTCAACCTGGGTGGGTGTATGTGTGTGTTTATGTCAATATAATTTCTCAACTAACCAACCAATCTTAATTATAAATAAATTAGGCATTTATGGGAATGCTTTTGCCAAATCCAGATATGCCTCATCCACAGGCCTTCCTTTATCAATGCAGATTGGTCTGGCAAGGACGATCTTTCATAAATCCATGTTGTTTACTACTAATGCTGCTATTTTCATGTGAAAATTCTTGGATATAGTCCCTTATCATTCCCTCCATTAGTTTACATACTATTAATGTTAGACTGACTGGCCTGTAGTTTCCAGGTATATATCTTTGCCCTTTTAGCTTCCATTTAAGTACATAAGCAAAGTTTTTACTTTTTTGGATGCCTGCAGCTTATGATCATTGTAGGATGTCTTGATGAATCCTGGGGGTGGGTGTGAAATGCCCTGACAATATCCTGTGTGGCCTCTTCCCCCTCCCATGAGATTTGGTTAAAATGAGAGCTTGGTGGCATTTTCCCATGTATAGGCATGCAGTATCCTCCCCCAATCAATATGGTGCACATAAGTGAATAAGCTTGTGAAAGATCCACTGGGTATGAGCTCAAACATGTTTGGATCCTAGTCCAAACCCACTTGAGCTATCCCACCAGTAAGCTGTCACTATACAAAGCCAATAATAAGTGCCCAAGGCATTCATCACTTCTCAGCCACATGAGTACACACTTCTTGGACTTTATTATTTATTTATTACAGGTACTTATATAGCGCCGTCAATTTACGCAGTGCTTTACAAATATACTGTACATTCACATCAGTCCCTAACCCTCAAGGGGCATACAATCTAAGGTTCCTAACTCACATTCAAACATACACATACTAGGGCCAATTTAGACAGGATCCAAGTAACCTACCACCATGTCTTTGGAGTGTGGAGTACCCGGAGGAAACCCACACACGCACAGGGAGAACATGCAAACTCCAGGCAGGTGGTGCCGTTGTTGGGATTTGAACCGACTCTAGTATTGCCAGGTGGAAGTGCTAATCATTTAGCCACTGTACTTTATATTTGTTTACATTACTCGCTGCCTAGTCTTAGTGGTGACATGAGAGGTTTTACACTGAGATAGATTTTCTTTGACAACATTGTCAGTTTTGTAGCTTTGGATGGTGATATATATGTATTGTGTTTATAATTAGCACATTTTTGCTGAAAAGCTTATTTTTGAAGATATGCAGATGCTGTGTCCTTGTTCATAGTTTTCCTTCTTCAAATTTATAGACAGGATGATGTAACTCCAGTGTGCATCCTAATGGTTAACCACTTGCCCTCCTGAGGATTTACCCCCCCCCCCCCCTTCCTGACCAGGCCTTTTTTGCTATTTCTGTGCTGCGCTATTTCAACTGGTAATTGCACAGTCAAGCAATGCTGTACCCAAACAAAATGTACTTCCTATTTTTCACACAAATAGAGCTTTCTTTTGGTGGTATTTGATCACCTGTGCACTTTTTATTTTTTGTGCTATAAACAAAAAAAGACTGAAAATTTTGAAAAAAACTATATTTTTTTACTTTTGACTATAAATAAAAAATAGTAAACTCAAAGTTTAACTGACAATTGCGCGGTCATGCAATGCTGTACATAAATTAAATTTATGTCCTTTTTTCACATAAATAGAGCTTTCTTTTGGTGGTATTTCATCACCTGCACGCTTTTTATTTTTCACGCTATAAACAAAAAAAGACCAAAAATTTTGAAAAAAAAGATTTTCTCATTTCTGTCATAAAAAATATCACAAAAACTCAAATTTCGTCATAAATTTAGGCCAAAATGTATTCTGCTACATGTTTTTGGGAAAAAAAAAACTCCCAATAAGTGTATATTGATTGCTTCTACAAACCATGGTTTAGATACTGCAATTTATGCCATTTTTTGCTATACAGCGCTGCACTAGTTTAACTGACGCACGGTCATGCAAAGCTGTACCCAAACTAAATTTATGTCCCTTCTTTCACACAAATAGAGCTTTCTTTCAGTGGTATTTAATCACCTGTGTACTTTTTTATTTTTTGCACTATAAACAAAAAATAACGCACGTTTAGAAAAAAAACTATATTTTCTCATTTCTGTCATAAAAATATCCAAAAAACTCAAATTTAGTCATAAATTTAGACCAAAATGTATTCTGCTACATGTTTTTGGTAAAAAAAATCCCAATAGGTGTATATTGAGTGCTATATGTAAAAGTTATAGCATCTACAAACTATGGTATAGATGCTGGATATTACACAGCTTTTACTTTCTGACTGCCTATCACATTTCTTGAGGTGCCAAAAAAAACCAGGACCAGGGGAGGACTGACAATTTATGGGGCCCCCGGGCAATAGGGGATCATGGGGCCCCTGTGTCCTTCACCACACTCAAAGCACACCCAAAAAAGCCTATAAAAGGTACCAGGGGCATTTCATGGGCCCCCTACTGACCCCGGTGACCAGTGACCGAGTGCTCGAATGGTCAGTCCGCCCCTGACCAGGACAGTACAAACCCAAATGACCTCTTTTCGGAAAGTAGACTCCCTAAGCTATCTGCTGAGAGGCATGTTGACAGCGGCAAGTGCTAACAGAGATCAGGCCTGATTCTGAGAACACTGCGGTTTTGTGTGCAATGTAACAAGTGACAGTGATCTACTGACACTGCACTTGCTGGGGAAGAGGGGGGGGGGATAAGTGTAGGGGCTAAACGCAGATGTTGGGGCTAACACACTGTCGTCAGTTCAGGTCCATAGTCTAATGCAATTCGGGGCCGCCAAATTTTTAATGATTTATTGTGACGTGTCAGAATATTGAATCATTACGAATAGCTTAGACATATGAATGTTGAATCCACCCAAAATATATAGTAATCTTCTGAGAAAACTGCAAACATTTATGAAACAAATGCCTAGTATATTGAAACGAATACCAAAACAAAATCAGTTCAACATAATGAATATGAAAAAACAAAATTCTTCAATGAATGAATGCATCTGATGTGAAAATAATTTTCTGGCATGCTTATGTCTAGTGACCACTCTTCATAGTTCCACTAACAGTTCAGACAAGTGCAGATTGTGGGTAGAAATCACTAGCCAGAAAGGTTTAAACCAACTCTTAAATATCCCTAGATAGACAAGCTGTTCTGACAAATGTCAGGGTTTCCAGAATGGAGGGAAGGCCTTTTTTTTTTTACGGCTAGATCTCCTCCTAAATTTGTTCTTTCCAAACCGCCACAGACAAGGGCGGACTGACAAATCATGGGGCCCCGGGTAATAGCGATCATGGGGCACCTGTGTCCTTGCCCACACTCAAACCACACCCAAAAAAGCCTATGAAAGGTACCAGAGGCATCTCATGGGCTCCCTACTGATCCCAGGGCCCTCGGTCAGTCCACCCCTGCTCACAGACACAAACCCATGGGTCAAAGCATGCTGCCATGAGAATATTTCCATATGTTCAAGTAAGGTTGTCGCTCTCCAGTACTGAAAATCAGAACAAAATGCTTGCTTATAGAGTGGGTTCCTTTGGTTCAGTCTGCTCTACATTGACACTGTAAGTCCATTAAACTATGATATAGGCAAGTGAGTATTTGACATTTGGGACAGTAGAGTCAGGACCAGGGGCGGACTGACAACTCATCGGGCCCCTGGGCAATAGGGGATCATGGGGCCCCTGTGTCCTTGCCCAAACTCAAAAAGCCTATGAAAAAGGTACCAGGGGCATCTCATGGGGCCCCCTACTGACCCGGGCCCTAGGGCAGTACCCGAGTTTTCCATATGGTCAGTCTGCCCCTGGTCAGGACTAGACAGAGAGATATCAGTTTGAAATAGTTGGCCAGCTCGAACATGTATTGCAATATATGTGAACCAAAAATTCTTGCTTTTTTGCAAAAGGTTTTCTAGAAATATGGAAAAGGAGCATAGGAGTGTGTAAAGGATTACTTCAGCATTTTCAGTGTTAGCATGTGGTCACACCTCTTTAGCACCTGATGTGATATATGTATGCATGTAAGCTATTTGGATTTGAGCACAGACATCTCTCATCTCTATTGAATAGTGCAGGTCAGTAACTAGACCTGAGTTGGCTGCTTTTCTCCAACTGTATCTGTCTGCCCTATATTGGCATTATATCTACTGCATATTAAATATGCAATACGCCAGCTTTTGGCATTTGGCATAGTAGCAAAAAGACTGGCCAGAGAGGGACTATTTTGATGCAATTTGCCAGTGCGGACATGTATTGCAATGCCATCTCTGACTGCCAATCCTGGATTCCAGACAAAGGTAGAGAGAAACATGAATTGTCTTCCTTAAAAACGTTTTTTTATAGGGTTCAAAATCCACACAGCAAGATATTCCTTAAAAACAAAGGAACACTGAAACATTCCTATGTCCCAAGGCATTTTATTCCAGTTTATCTAATAACATAGTTTAATAGGCTAATTCAGAGCTGAACACTAGACAGGTATAAAAGATACAGAATAGTGCATCTCTGTAGCAATAATACTTCATTAAATGTGTTTTTCAATGCAGGCAGTGCAAGCATCTGATTGTAACCTTGTATCAACCTCTTGAAGTCCATGTAGAACAGATCTAGAGTGTGAGAGAAACAAGCAGTACTGCATGCTGATTGGAAGAGAAAGCAGAGTGGCAGAGAAAGCTCATTACTGTTCTACTTTTGCTTTTAAAAGCTGGGATGGGCCAGGATGGTCTAAGCTCAATGGAAGTGGGTTGAATGATGCTGGCCATCATATAATGACATGATAAAAATGACAATAACATCTACTGGTAGAAAAAAGTACTGCAAGGAAAAATCTCTGGATTGAAGCCAAATAAATCAGTGAAGACAGATTTTGTTCATTTAGCTTTAAAGGGTTATTAATTTTTATCATATTATTTTTTTAGCTGAAGGTGTGCTTTAAAAAGAATGATCAATCCAATATCCCATAGACCAATAATTAAATAGATGTAAAATCAGTGTGTCAGGAATGGACTCGCCAATGGTGGTGGGGACTCACCTGCCTTATGGGCTGCAATACCAAGGCTGGCCAGCAGGTGCTATCAGCAGCCAGAATCTCACTCCTGCAATCAGGCCATCACCTGAGGCTGATTGCAGGAGGTGTATTTAAGCAGGACCAGGCCTGTGATCAGTGCCTTGGTGTATGTTTCCCATGAGCCCCTGTACCTGCATCCTGTCTGCTTCCTGCCTGATCCTGCTTTGATCCTGACTCTGAACCTGACTCTGAATGAACTCCGCCTGTCCTGACCTCGGCTATCCTGACCACTCTTCTGCTCGCTCCTGGTACCCTGTTTGCCCGTTACCTACCGACCCGGTCCACCTGACTACGTTGTGCTACATATATATATACATATATATATATATATCAGTTTAGGTTTGGGTTTTGTTTTCACCTTGTTGTATGTATTTGTGTTAGTTTTGGGTTTGGTTTGTTGCACTGCGTTTATGTTTGTGTTGTCCTTAATAAATTATCTTGTGTTTACACGCTATACCTGAAGTCTGTGTTTCCCTGTGTCGGTCCACACACCTCTGGTCATTCCCAGAGCCCTGACATTACACCAAGGCCATTCCTGACCAGAAGTGGCTGCACAGGGAAGCCATCTTGGCTTGTTGTTGGGAAGGATGCATCCTGAGGAGGTTATATACTTGTATTTGCTAGTCTTAGATGACAGAGAATATGCCTATCAGACTCTGCAGGAGTATATACCAGGAATCAGCTGCTAGAGTGCATACGGGTCACTCATTCCCTAGTAGATCAGGGCACGGAGTTCTCTGAGGTGCAACCATTGATTCAGGCTTGTGTTGAGTTGGCTTCATCTAGTACCCCTGAAGGCAGGGATGACTTTCTTCCACCATTCAGTGTGGATCAAATAGAATCACTGGTATGGTTGTTGAAGGATGATCCGGTTTGCTTCTGGGAACATTATTCAGCATGTTCACCACATGTGCTAGTGGAGTATATAAACGCAGTGCAGTCTTTGGTCAGACAGGCTATGTGTAAGCTGAGTTTTGTTCAACCAATGCTACAGTTCCTGGTCAGACTTATTACACCCCAGCCTCAGTCAGCTTGCAACAAACCCGTCCTGCTTCTAATCATTCCTCTGCTCAAAGCTCTATTCCTGCATTCCCGACAGCACCCCCAGTGACAGCGCAATATACCCTGCTATCTACCACATGTCAGTACCCTGTTCCCACTCGCTGCACCTATCCTGCCTTTAACCCTGTAAAGAAGGCCGCTGTAACAACTATTCCCTCCTCTGTTTCATCTCCAGCTCTTCTCTGTCCCAGCTACTCCATCCATTTACAGACCTGCATTTACTTGCAGTGCCCCAGTAACTAAACCCAAGAAGAAGCGAAAATTCTTTCCAACCAGTACCATCCTACCAGTATCCAAACGGTCAGCCTGCCGTCTGTGAACCTGCCTTCCGTTGTTCAGCCTGATGTCCTGATGCCTGATGCCCCAGTGTACGCTACCCAGCCTGATGACCCGATCCAGCCTGATGACCCGATCCAGCCTGATGACCCTGGTGTTCGTGATCCAGCCTGATGACCCGATCCAGCCTGATGACCCCAGTGTTCGTGATCCAGCCTGATGACTTGATCCAGCCTGATGACCCGGTGTTCGTGATCCAGCCTGATGACCCGATCCAGCCTGATGACCCGGTGTTCGTGATCCAGCCTGATGACCCGATCCAGCCTGATGACCCAGTCCGGCCTGGTGCCTTGGTGCCCGTCCGTGTCCGGCCTGGTGCCTCTCAGTGCCCATGGTCGGCCTGGTGCCTCGGTGTCCGCTGTTCTACCAGATGACTTGGTGCCCCGCTGTCGAGCTTGGTGACTTGGTGCCCACCGTTCTACCAGATGACTCGGTGCCCGCTGTTTGTACCAGATGACTCGGTGCTGGCTGTCGTGCCAGATGACTCAGTGTCCCCTGTTGTGCCAGAAGACTTGGTGCCCGCCCGCTGTCGAGCTTGGTGACTCGGTGCCCGCTGTCGAGCTTGGTGATTCGGTGCCCGCTGTCGTGCCAGTTGACTCAGTGCCCGCTGTCGAGCCAGATGACTTGGTACCCGCCCCGTGTCGAGCTTGGTGACTCGGTGCCCGCTGTCGAGCTTGGTGACTCGGTGCCCGCTGTCGTGTCAGATGACTCAGTGCCCGCTGTCGTGCCAGATGACTCGGTGCCGCTGTCGAGCTTGGTGACTTGGTGCCATCGTTCTGCCAGATGACTCGGTGCCCTCTGTCGTGCCAGATGACTCGGTGCCCCCCCTGTCGTGCCAGATGACTCGGTGCCCGCTGTCGTGCCAGATGACTCGGTGCCCGCTGTCGTGCCAGATGACTCGGTGCCCGCTGTTATGCCTGGTGACTCGGTGATGAGCTTGGTGACTTGGTGCCCGCAGTCGTTCTGCCAGATGACTCGGTGCCCGCTGTCGTGCCAGATGACTCGGATGCCCCCTGTCGTGCCAGATGACTCGGTGCCCACTGCCGTGCCAGATGACTCGGTGCCCGCTGTCGTGCCAGATGACTCGGTGCCCGCTGTTATGCCTGGTGACTCGGTGCCCGCTGTCGTGCCAGGTGACTCGGTGCCCGCTGTCGAGCTCGGTGACCCGGCTGTCCGCTGTTCTGCCCGATGACTCGGTGCCCGCTGCCTCGCCTGATAGCCCGGTGCCCGCTGCCCTCGCCTGATGGCCCGGTGCCGCTGCCTTGCCTGATGTGCCTCTGCCTGCTGCCCAGCCTGATGGGCCTCTGCCTGCTGCCTAGCCTGATGTGCCTCTGTCCGCTGCCAAGCCTGATGTGCCTCTGTCCCCGCTGCCCAGTCTGTTGTGCCTCTGTCCGCTGCCCAGCCTGATGTGCCTCCATCCACTGCCCAGCCTGATGTGCTCCATCTGCTGCCCGAGCCTGATGTGCCTCCGTCTGCTGCCCAGGCCTGATGTGCCTTCCGTCCGCTGCCTAGCCTGATGTGCCTCTGTCCGCTGCCCAGCCTGATGTGCCACCCCCTGATATCCAGCCAGTTACACAGACCCAGGCGGTGGTGGAACATTTTGCCCACTAAGGACTGTTTGGAGCGTCCTGACGCCGTTTTCCTTGAGGGGGGGGTACTGTCAGGATGGACTCACCCAATGGTGGTGGGACTCACCTGCCATGTGGGCTGCAATACCAATGGCCAGCGGGTGCTCTCAGCAGCCAGAATCTCACTCCTGCAATCAGGCCATCACCTGAGGCTGATTGCAGTGAGGTGTATTTAGGCAGGACCAGGCCCTGTGATCAGTGCCTTGGTGTATGTTTTCCCATGAGCCCCTGTACCTGCATCCTGTCTGCTTCCTGCATGATCCTGCTTTGATCCTGACTCTGAACCTGACTCTGAATGAACTCCGCCTGTCCTGACCTCGGCTATTACAGACCAATCTTCCACTCACTCCTGGTACCCTGTTTGCCCGTTACCTACCGACCCGGCCCGGCCCGCCTGACTACGTTGTGCTCCATATATATATATATACATATATATACACATATCAGTTTAGGTTTGGGTTTGTTTCACCTTGTTGTATGTATTTGTGTTAGTTTTGAGTTTGGTTTGTTGCACTGCGTTTATGTTTGTGTTGTGCTTAATAAATTATCTTGTTTACACGCTATACCTGAAGTCTGTGTTTCCGTGTCGGTCCACACACCTCTGGTCATTTCCCAGAGCCCTGACACAGTGTATAAACAAGCCATATTGTTAGACTGCTATAAGATAATACATAAAGCTAAATATAATGTTGACATATGTATATGATGGCTATTATACAGCATCTGCAATAGAATGAACATTTCTGTCTACCCGGTCCTGAGATATATACTGTATATACCCCTACAACAAATAGCCAGGCTGGTAACCTGAATTTTCTCTACAGCTGTTAAACACATCAGTCACCTCCTCTTGTCAAAATGTCTCTTGCTACCCATGTGCATTATAGTACAACTGACTAGCTTCCCCTCCCCCTCACAGTGTGAGGGCTTCTGTACGGGGAATTACAAGAGGCTAATACCAAGTCAGTTACTGATGCATACATTTTCTGCATTTAAATAAATGTATACATTTTCAATGAACACATAACTTGATTGCAGTAATACTTGATCATTTTTTTATATCTGCCTGGAGTTCAACTTTAATGAAAGAAAATATTAATCATATTACTTTTCCTTGTATTATAACTCTCTAGCAAGAAAAGAAAGTAAAATGAGAGAAACCCAGAGGAATACCAAGCTAATCACCCAAGACTGCTTTAAATTATTTCTGATGATTTAACCCAGGGGGTTCCATTTACTACATGCAGGAGATCAAGAGAGTCTAAAAAATGGTAAGGTAAAAACAGTTAATGGTTACCATCATTTTTAGAAACCTTGGAAACTAGCAGGCAGCCAATGACAAATGTTCAGCATTACACGTATGAGCCTTGTGAACTTGGACAATCAACCAGAGAGACCTCTTACAATTTTTAATAAAACCTGGAAAGGAAAAATATCACATAAATGGAGTCCTACTAATGATAAAATGCTTCCAGCAAAACTTCCGTTCCTAAGCACCATGCCTAATTGCCACAGCTATGATTACCCTTTGATCATTTGGGGGTTAGCCATATTTCTTGTCTATCACCTGGAAATCCATTCTATACCAAGTGTTCATGCATCATACATCATCGTTTCCAAAAGACAATAATAGGGCATTCTGTATCTAGAATTATGCTGTATGGTGCCACTGAATATAATCTAGAATTATGTGTTTTATTCTCTGAGCCATCAGTGAATATTGAAATGAGAACACACACTTTAATGGTTATTAATGGTTATAAACCTTCAATCTCACCCAAAACCAATTAAATCATTTTTCATATTATTATGTATGATTTATATAGTGCCAACAGTTTTAACAATTTGTGCAGTGCATTGCAAAATGAAGGCAGACAGTACAGTTTCAATACAATTGAACACAATCAGAGGACCATGCTCATTAGAGCTTACAATCTAAAAGAGTTGGTCAATTGATACAACTGTGAGAGGGATGAGCTGATGAACGTTTAGTTGTTAGGTGGAGGGGTAGGATAGGCTTCTCTAAAGAGATGGGTTTTCAGAGATTGCCTAAAGGTGGGGATAGTTAAACAGATTGGGGTAAAGGGTTCCAGAGGATGTAAGAGGCTTTGAAGAAGTCTTGGAGGCAAGCATGGGAGGAGGTGATGAGGGAGTTAGAGTAGGAGGTCTTGGAAGGAACGAAGAGAATGCTTTGGTGGCTATTTTGAGACTAGGTTAGTAATGTAGTTCAGAGCAAAGTTGTGAACAGCTTTGTAAGCTGTTGTTAATATTCTGAAATTTATTAATTGGGTGAGGGGAAGTCAGAGGGATAAGTAGAGAGGGGTAATAGACACACTGAATGGTTGGTAAGGTGGGTAAGACTGGCAGCAGCATTCTTGACGGACTGAAGGGGGAATTACCTATGTAAAGGTAATATGTGAAAATAAATAAAAATATAAAAATATGTCCCTGTGAGGGGAAAAGAAAAACTATTTATAATATAAAAGGATAAATATACTGTAAATATAAACATAAACAATATAAAAGTAATGAAACTCGATGTAATGCTCTCTAGTGTAAGAGCTGGGTTTTTTTGTGCATAGTTAGAGGCTTGCTAGAGGCCTGGGTGTGAGTCAGCAAGTTTACTTAAGGTTAAGGCTGGAGGGCTCTACAGGTCAGTTCTCTCAACCCTCGCCCTGGTTTACAGACATGGAGAAGTTTCTAGAAGCCAGTGGGTGGGGGTGAGGAAGGGCTGATCTGCATACTTAGGGGAGCCTGGCCATTCCCCAGACAGGAAGCCTGGCATGGTGACTATGTCAGCCCTGTTATATGAGAGAGCATGGTCAGCAGGGGAGTTGGGTGGAAGATGGAGTGAGGAAATGCTGCTAGTGTGGAGCCTGGGAGGGGCCCCAAAGGAGGGGCATCTACCTACAGGCTGGGAGATGGAAAGAAGGACCTCCAGTGTCCCACAATCTACCAGGGAGAGAAAGCCTGTCAGCAGGGGAAGAAGCCAGCCCAGCATAAGGCCTGAAAGCAGCGTCAACCTTTAAAGCTACAAGAACAGGACAGTGTGAGTACTTCTACACCCACCTGGGTCAAAGAAGGGAGGGGGATGGTCAGGTGCAATACCCAACTAGTTCTCCTTGGGACTGCATTATTTGTGTGTCTTGGAATCCCTTGCCCTGGGATATTCTTAAGACAGCCAGGTTGATGGGAGATTTTCATCTGGGGTCTTAGGAGGTTCATTTAAAGGCTGTATTTCTCCAGTTGATCATATAAGTGAAGTTTGTTCTGCACTCCCTGTGACCCGTTTGCACATCACTTGGCCAGTCCAAGCTGAGGAATGATTCCGACTTTAAAATTGGGATCCACCCCAGAGTCTGTAGCAGCACCTGGTTCAGCCTCTCAGCGATCTGCTGAGAGCCTGAGCCCACTGCTCCCTCCACAGCCTAGTGCATAGTTAGAGGCTTGCTAAAAGCCTGGGTATGAGTCAGCAAGGTTACTTAAGGTTAAGGCTGGAGGGCTGTACAGGTCAGTTCTCTTAAACCTCGCCCTGGTTTAGTGACTTGGAGAAGTTTCTAGAAGCCAGTGGGTGGGGGTGAGGAAGGGCTGATTTGCATACTTAGGGGAACCTGGCCATTCCACAGGCAGGAGGCCTGGCATGGTGACTATGTCAGCCCTTATCTATGAGAGAGCCTGGTCAGCAGCGGAGTTGGGTGGAAGATGGAGTAAGGAAATGCTGCTAGTGTGGAGCCTGACAGGGGGCCCCAGAGGAGGGGCATCTTCCTACAGGCTGGGAGACAGAAAGAAGGACCTCCACTGTCCCACAACCTACCAGGAAGAGAAAGCCTGTCAGCAGGGGAAGAAACTAGCCCAGCGTAAGGCCTGAAAGCAGCTTCAACCTTTAAAGCTACAAGAACAGGACAGTGTGAGTACTTCTACACCCACCTGGGTCAAAGAAGGGAGGGGATGGTCAGGTGCAATACCCAACTAGTTCTCCTTGGGACTGCATTATTTGTGTGTCTTGGAATCCCTTGTCCTGGGATACTGTTAAGACAGCCAGGTTGATGGGGAGATTGTCGGGCAGGGAAAAATAACAGAGCTGTACCAATGTTTAATAGACACAGCTCTGTTGTGACAGGAGGGAGTGATTGATTGTGTGTCCCTACAGAGCTGGGAATATGATCCATCAGTTCATCTTGTTCCAGCACCACCTTTTGTACACCAAGCACATAGCTAGGCACACACTCTTTAATCATTATAAATGTTAACTCCTTCCCAACCAGTGTCATTAGTACAGTAATCAGTGTATAACGTTAGCACTGATCACTGTATTATTGTCACTGGTTCCCACAAAGTGTCAGTGTACAAATATCCGCCACAATATCTTAGTACCACTATAAGTTGCTGATCACCATCATTACTAGTATAAAAAAAAAATTCCAGTATATGTCCCATACTTTTTAGACACTATACCTTTTGCACAAACTAATTAATATACGCTTTTAGGGATTTTTTTTACCAAAAAT